CGCGGAGCGGCTGGGCCCGTGAGCCATGGCCGCTGAGCCTGCGCGTCCGGAGCCTGTGCTCCGCAACGGGAGAGGCCACAACAGTGAGAGGTCCGCGTACCACAAAAAAAACCAGCGTGCTTGATTTTGGCATACATCCAGTCAATCCTTATTATTTGAAGATTCCCTAGTTGTGAGTCTGCCTGCTTGTTAAAATTGATTTGTAACTTCTAAATTATGTGTTGATCCGTTGGTGAAAATGTGGTGATCAAAGGCTCCCAGGAACCCAACCCTGTATTTCCTCTAGGAGCAATGGTTCAGTATTCTAGAATTCACTGTTGGTAGTTACTTTGTAGAACATAACTACTGGGAATAATAAGAATCAGCTGAACAGTGCATCCACTGAAATGAATTTTATATGATGTATGCATATACACAAATGCATGGAAAAATATGAAAGAATATGCACAGGCATACAAACAGTTATACAAACAGGTAATGTATAGAATTATGGTATCTTAAATTTTCTTATTTTTGCCAACCTGCATTTTCTAGTTTTTTTCATAATAACTATGTATTACGTGAATTGTAATAATTAAAATGGATTTGGTGCATCTACAAACAGAAAATGAATTCATCATATTCAGGTATTTTCATTGTATAATAAAGATGAAAGAATACGGGAATAAGAAGGGTTTTTTTTTTGGTTTTGGCATTTTTTCTTTTTTAAAGTCAGAATAGTACTTTCAAAGGTAATAGGCTGTTTCCAACCTTTAATCCACTTCGTTGTTGCTTCCCTTTACTTTCACCCCGGATCTTCATTGTACAAGCATACCTGGAGGTTTATCATTAACCACTTAAAGTTGATTAAAACTGAACCTATGATTAAAAACCAAACCCACATTCTTAACAGGTGAGTGGATAAACAAACTGGTACTTCCAGATAATAAAGCCATGAAAAGACCTGGAAGACACATAAATGCATATTACTAAGTTTTAAGCCTACCTGAAAAGGCTACATCCTGTATGAATCCAACTTGATGACGTTCTGGAAAAGACAAAACTATAGAGACAGTAAAAAGATCCGTGGTGGCCAGGGGCTTGGGGGGAGGGAAGAATGAATAAACAGAGCACGGAGGATTTTTAGGGCAGTGAAACTACTCTGAATGATACTATAATGGTGGATACGTGTCGTTACATGTTTGTCAAAACTCAAGGAATATAGAACAACAGGGATGAACTCTAATGAAACTATGGACTTTAGCTGATAATACCGTGTCAACACTGTCACATCAATTACAACAAAGGTATCACATTAACACAAGATGTTAATGATAGGGAACTGGGAGTGGGGAGGGTTATAGGAACTCTCTGTAGTTTACACTCAATTTTCCTATAAATCTAAAACTCCTACAAAAAAAACAGTCTATTAAGACCAGAACAAAACAACTCATTCAGTTTCTTTTGGAAATCGTAAAGAAATGTGTTGCCTTGTACAGGACAAGAAGCCTTGGCTACTAAGTTTGACAGTTAAGGGCTTCCCTGTTGGCGCAGTGGTTGAGAATCCGCCTGCCAGTGCAGGGGACACGGGTTCGATCCCTGCTCCAGGAAGATCCCACATGCCACGGAGCAACTAAGCCTGTGCCACAACTACTGAGCCTGCAGTCTAGAGCCCGTGAGCCACAACTACTAAAGCCTTCGTGCCACAACTACTGAAGCCCATGCATGCCTAGAGCCCGTGCTCCACCACAAGAGAAGCCACCACAGTGAGACGCCCACACACAGCAACGAGGAGTAGCCCCTGCTTGCCACAACTAAAGAAAGCCCGAGCCAAGCAACGAAGGCCCAATGCAGCCAAAAATAAATAAATAAATAAATTTATTTATTTATTTAAAAAAAGTTTGCCAGTTAAGGACAACAATATAAACTTCACCATATTGTTTCTCTATCTCTGTGGCCAATTCCTTTTCCAGATTGAATACTGGCAGTGACAACTTTGTTTATTCCACATTTATGAGATTTTAAAAAATATTTTGTGTTTTTTAAAATTTTTTTGTGGTACGTGGGCCTCTCACTGTTGTGCCCTCTCCCGTTGCGGAGCACAGGCTCCGGACGCGCAGGCTCAGCGGCCATGGTTCACGGGCCCAGCCGCTCCGCAGCATGTGGGATCTTTCTTGACCGGGGCACGAACCCGTACCCCCTGCATCGGCAGGCGGACTCTCAACCACTGCGCCACCAGGGAAGCCCTATTTTGTGTTTTTATTTTCTTCTTAAAATCAATGTGATTTTCTTTGCCTCAAGTAGCACTACCATGTCATTTTTTTCTAAACTAAGATCTCATTGTGCTTTTTTTTGAATTTTATTTTATTTTTTATACAGCAGGTTTTTATTAGTTATCTGTTTTATACATACTAGTGTATAATGTCAATCCCAATCTCCCGGTTCATCCCACCCCCCCCCCCCCCCCCTTTCCACCCTTGGTGTCCAT